GATGTTACTGTGTTCGTGGGCTTCCTCTGCATTCACCAATAACCTAATTTGGACCTTTCTCCTGGACTCTCCAATTGGGCTTCATTCTTTGGGCTACTCAATTTGGGCTGTACTTTTAGTGTGTCAACAGAATCATCACGCACGAGCATGGCACAGTCGCACAAATCTATTTCTTATTTGATTTCTCTAATTCTATCTATCGACTGTTTCTTTTGTTTTTTAGTTACTTCCTTTCAAGAATGGACTGAAACTGAAAGGCGAAAGCAGGTTTTTTTATAGTTATTTCTATATTTTCCATTTCTATAAACATAATAATATCATTGGAATTTCTGTATTTTCCCTTTCGCACAAGATCAGTAGCATTCTCAGGTAATATCCTCCTCTAGAATTCAAAGAATTCCATTACTAGCTTTACTTCATATCACATCAGTAGTGTGTGCAAGTATATATCCAAGTTCAAGCTTCTAATTCAATAGATTGTAATGCTTGCATAATTTACAATGGATGGAAATTCTTTAATTTAAGTGAATCAAGTTTTCTACTATGGAAGCTAAGAAATGAGAACATGTTAGGCATGTGGAACTCTTTATTTGTAAAACAAGCTGAGAATTTTAATCAAGAACTGAAATTTGTCACCTTCATTAGTTAGAAAGAATGCCGAATCTATAAGAAATGAGGTGGGGTCCTGAAATTTACAAAAAACCAATAAGATTATAAAATTACATTCTCTTATAATCACTCTCCAGGCAAAAGAACGTATAAGTATAAAAATTTAATATGCAACTCCACATAATTTGTTTACTCAACAATGGAAATAGGGAACAGTTACTTAATGGAACATGTGAAAAACTTTCACTGATCCCCTTTTCTATTATGCAGACAGATCAAGCTTCCAACATTTTCATTTTATGTGATCTGTTTACTTGTGCAGTTTAAAATTAATTGTTGGGATTTATTTGGAGATTGCATACAGTGGATGACAGCTCTTCTGAGATGCAATGTTTACTCAGCTGCCACAAGTTTATTATATTAATTCTTAGATGCAACATTTACTCAGTGGATGGCTGTATTAATTGTATTTGGGTGACTTTTTATTCAAATGGTTGTACGTTGTATTAAATATTAATCTTATTTGGATGATATATTGGTTTTATTTGAAATATATGGTAATAAATTACGCTTTGTCCAAACCAACCAACCCAGCCCAACCCGACTGACACTTGATTGGGTTGTATTGTGTTGTGTTGGGTTTCACCATGTATTTGGGTTGGGTTTGGGTTGGGGGGGAAACCAACCCAACCCACACCCACCCCTACATATTAGTATATGTTTATGAAAGATGATCTCCTACCCAATGACAGTTATCTTGCCCATAGACACGTGCATACAATTTTGGGCAATTTTTGACCATTTAATGTTGATTTGTCAAAAGTTGTAGATTTGATTGCGATAAGACATTGCCACATCTACTGTGCTCAAACCCCAAGGGGGATATACTATCATTTAATGCCACATTGTCATCGTCTAGATTGGGGTTGCAACTAGGATTGAACAAAACTCCCGAACCAAATTGAACCAAATTGAGCGGTTCTTCATAAGTTAAATACCGAACGGGTATCTGAATCGAGAATCGACGGGTTCGGTTCGGTTCTCGGTTCTAGACCTAGAACCGAATAAGAACCGAATTCAAATAATTTTTTATATTGAATTAATTAATTTTTAAAATTTTTTTCTAAACAAATTAGCAAATTAACTAATTTAGTGATTAATGTTCTAACTCCCAAGACAAGTCCATGCCTAGCTAACACAACCCAACCCAATTTCTAAATTCAATTTTTTAATTTAATTTTTTGGTCATATTATTAATTTCATTCGTA